AAATTAATAATAATTCAAGGCAATATGATTTGAGAGGTCTTTCTCCCAAAAATGGAGTTGCATTAATATTTACATACATGTAAATAGCTGGCACAAAGGAAATATTTTTCCAAAGAGAGACAATGCTATGTGAGCTTCAGAGCTCTTCTAATTTTAAGTTTACTTGTCTGCACCTGAGATGGAACTGTATACATCTTTACACACAGGCATTTATAAACGGGAGGGGAGAAGTATTTGTTCACATCACATTTCCCCTTGGGGTGAACAAGTGCCAGAAGGAAAGCTGGAGTGAGAACAAGGTGTGTCTTGCTGATGCTCATGGAACAAGGACTCTGGAAACCAGGCACAGAACAAGCAAGACCACAGTGTAGGCACAAACTCTGAAAATCAGGACAGACTTATAAGCAAGAATAAGGCAAAAGATTGTGAACTCTGGGCTCCAAGGGAATGGAGGATGATGAGTTTTGACCCAAACCAGACCCACATATTTACAAAAGCATGTAAAATACTGTTTCAGAAAATTTCAAAAAAGTATTTAATATCATTATTATTAAGTAATTTAACTAATTTCACATTATTTAGTCAATGCAAGATGATAATGCTCTTTCACTTAGGGAACTATTCCTTCTTTCAAAATTATGGGTAGAAAAATATAACAATACTAAGAAAGCAAGAAAACAGGCACTCTTCTACCACTGAAAAACAGACAAAACCCCCAAAGCTCTTAAACCAGAAGTGTGAAAGTTCAAGTCGAGTTGAAATCTAGAAATAGAAAATGCCTTTGCAGAGAAGTAAAAGTCCTGACTCTACATCTCAGTCAAGACAATCTACAAATAAAGGCTTCAGCCACAAAACTGGTAGAGAAAACTAGTGCTGCAGAAATAAATTTTACTATTGTTAAACACCTGCCTTTTAAGAGATTTGGCTAAGTTGAGTTGATATTTCTATCGACTGAGAGTGTTTTATTTCAGTGGGAAAGCATAATGCAGAGTTATTAATTAAGCATCTGCTTTTCTGTAAGTCAAATTGGGTCAATGAAACAGCAGTGCTTTTTTAAGCAAAGAGGGAATGAAATAAACCCAAAAACTTATGCAAGTCAAGTAATATTGTAATAAGCAAACCACAGACTGCTGCATCTAGCCACAGGTAACATAATAGCTCCAGAGATTTTTGATGACAGGGGTTTCATATCCAGATAAAGTAAGCAAGGGACTCGTAAATGGATCTCCACTAACTGATGTCTTAATATTACATTCAGGAAGGTCACGCCTGTCAACACAAGCATTCAGAATAATTAATGAAAATCTATTTAATTGCATATGGAGTCCAGATCACTGGAGAACAGCAAAATAATTAGAAGCATGTCCAATGTAAAAACTGCCATAAACACTTCTCATTGTTGATTAGAGTAGCTATCATTCACAGGGTCTAGATGTCCAAATAATAGCTCAGGTTTTCATCTTTTAACTCTCCTTCACAACATTCCTTCAGCTGAATTTCATTAACACTGGATCTTTGTAGCACTATTTTATTCTCTGAATATACCTATAAGTCTGTGTCTCTCCATAATCAACTCCATGTTAACATGTTTTGAGACAATTTAAAAGAACCATTTAGCTCCCTCAGGTTTATTCTTCATCCATTCTGTTTTGTCACCATGCTAGAACTATAAAAAACACAGGACACAATGTCCAAAATACTGAAAATTCATACTTTACATAAGCACTTTCTTTCACAAAAGGCAGTCTTTCAGGTGCACTAGTATTTTCTGTATAATTATTCTTGTATTCAGAATGCACGCATCCTGTACATTTGAGTAAGAAAATCATATTCCATAAGACTTCAGTTTTCCAAATTAAATATAAACCATGACAAAGAAAGACTCTACACATTGAAACTAGAAACAAAAAAAAAAAAAAAGAAATCTGGAAAAATAGTTTATATAACCCTATGGAATAGCTCTAGTTGTAATTTTACAACATCATATTATTTGTTCTAAAACATATCAATACATACTAGCTAATCACATTTTTGAACAGATTATTCTTCAGTGGCAATGCACTAGAGACACTGCAGACGAAGCAATTTTTTCCTTTAATATTAAATGGTGTTCTGTAGACAAAATATTTTTAAAACAGAATTGTTATCCATTATTACTGTTTCTTGAAGCAATAGGCTTCAATTATACAAAAGCATTTCCACGAACTGTCTTCAACACATACTAAAATAGCAGGGCAAACCAATCCCTAAAATAAAGACTTCCCAAAGGACTAAGCTGTGAAAAAAGGCAAGGACTACAAATATCTAAGCTGCACAGGACATTAATACTTTGTAAACATATTTTCATAGTTACACAAGTCAAGTCCATGGGCAGTATATCTGGAATGAGGATTAAAAGCATAATAAATGCAAAGACTCCCATCCGGCTGTTGGCACGGTCAGTTTAAGTTGGCCGAGTCTGCTTGTTGAGGCTCAGCAGCTCTGGAATGCTCTGTACTGCTCTGAGAAGAAGCCTGGATCTCCCAGCACAGTGATTCTGTAACCTCGCACCCCGGTGACACCGGCAGCGTGTGACCCAAGCGCTGCTGGACAGAGCCAGCCCACATTAATAAGCCAAATATTCCCACCACTTTCTTAATGCTTGCATGCTGTGTTTAGTGCCAGCTTTGCACTTTTGCACTGTGCTCTGCCCAAGCTAATAAACCCTTGAAGTACAAATTCCACAGATGAGAGACACCTTAAGGTTTGGTTTGGGTTTTTTGGTTTGGTTTCCTTTTCTGGTTTGGTTTTTTTTTTGTTGGTTGGTTGGTTGGTTGTTTTTTTTTGGTTGCTGTTGCTGTTTTGGGGGTTGATTTTTTGGTTGTTGTTGTTTGGATTGGGTTTGGTTTGGTTGTTTTTTGGGGTTTTTTTTGGGGTTTTTTTTGGTTTTTTTTTTTTATAGTTCTGGCTGAATTGTGCTGCATCCTGACTGACTCCATGTGGAACCACTGGGCAACTCTTGTAAGACACCCAATCCCTCACGTTTTCCAGGCTTTCATTATCTAGAACACTCCACTCTATTACTAAAGATAACAAACCTAAGAAAATAAATGCCATAATAATTTTAGAAGGCAGTCTACACTGCTTGTTTATTTAATATCAAAAATTTACTGTGTTGTCTCAGCACATGAAAAAGAGAATGCTTACCACTGCCCTAAAACAAAACTTCCTTTGCCCAAACCAAATATTTTAAGTTAACCAGTCCAAAACCAAAAATTCTTACCTCTTGTTTTTGAAAGCATACATGAGATTCACACAACTGATGCCTTCTAACCTGTAAACGTGTTAACACTGAACTCTTCTGCTACACTAAAGCATCATGCACAAATAAGCGTAATAGTCCTTCTTATAACGTGTATATCCATTGTAATCACACTTTTTCTGATCAAGTCAAAGCAGGCTAAAAAAATATTTGTTTGCTCTAAGTGAATAAAAACTAAAGCGATTTCACTTAGCAACAACTACAATTGCATAAGTACTACTGAATGCTTTAGAAATAAATTCAAGCTATTGAAATGAATGTGTCACACAACTTAAATTCTCCCTGTTACTTAGACACTACTGACTAAGAGGTAAAAAAATACATTAACTACCTCAACACAGTGCCCACAACAAGAAGCAAAATGGTGATCTGAATGCTACAAGTAGCATAGGTTAAAAACTATTTCCATTAACACCCGGGATTTTTGATTTCAGTTTTGAAACCAAACATACTGAAAAAAACCAGAAGGTTAGACTATTGATTCCCATCGATGATTTCAAAACCTCAAGCAAATGGTTGTAATTTCAAAAAATTTCCAACCTATTAAAAATACTCATTCCTATGAAAGTGAGTATGATTTTGGAGATTTGGAGTTTTACTAAAGAAAGATTTCTTCCTATGAAAAGCCACAATACCTCTTTGCCAGCGGACAAGGAAACAGCACAGAACGTGTTCAAAAGCTGTCAGATGGGGTTCTCAGGGATGTGGTGTGGAAGTGGCCTGATAGAGTTAGATAATCATTGGACTCAATGATCTTACAGGTCCTTTCCAACCATGGTGATTCTGTGTGTGATTTGTGTGAATAGCAGATATCATGTGAATAGCAGCATCAGTATGAATAGAAAATATCTTCTATACTCCTCATCCAAACTGCTGGGTGTAGAGGCAAGAGACCCTGAGTGATGTGGCTTTTTCATCCCAAAGCAATTAAAGGATACCAAATGATACCAGATGCACATGTTTAGATAACCAAGTTTCACATAGTTGAGACAAATCTATAACCAATTGCGATCAGAGGAAAAAGTGTTTTGCCATTCTGTATTTGATGATCTATGGCATTTCTCCTACTTTGAAATGCTAACGTGAGAATACTGGAGAAATCAAATACAAGGATGCATTTCAAACCAAAATGAACAACATTGAAGAGGTTCGACCCATCAATACGATCAGGCTGTAGTCTGTTATAAAAGAACAGTCATCACTACAACAAATGTAAGGGTGAAGGAAGATTAAGCTATTGATTCTTTGGCTGACCAGAACTACAAGCTTGAACAAAGGATCACAGTACGAATACAAAAACCCTATGAAATTTCTAATACTAGCCAGCTTCTGAAGGATCAGACAGAAGTTTTAATTTAGCTTTTATAAACAAATTCTTTAGCTTAACAAACTTGTACTGTTATCTAAGATTATTCTAAGACCTTGGTGGCAAGTCTTGGCTGACAGACAGGAAAGGGTTATGGAGAACAAAAATACATACATCTAACAGCAAATCTGCAGAACAGCTGCTACAAAAAAACTCAGCCACAAACTTCAGCAAATGTTGGGTATCAAGACAGTAAAAAAAAAAAATTGATCTTTGGAGTTGGTTTTGTTGTTAGAATATGCTTTGTCCCTTGTAGAAGCAAATTCACTTTCCTGAGTAAATACAAATCATCTACCCAGTTCACTGAGTTTGTTTCATTTTAAATGAACTTACCGAGTGCCGTCTGCTTTCCAGCTAACTTTGTATGGCTTCTGCTCCAAAAATTTAATATTTTGCTTGTCCATGGAAACAGGCTGTGCTCCAGGGAATCCAGACCTAAAAAAACCACCAACAAACAAACAAAAAACCATGTTTATTAATGTTCTGCAACAAATAATCAGAGGAGGCAAGGCATTGTTTAAGTAGACTGAAGTCACATCTTGTCCCAGACTTGCTACAAGGCTAACTTCAAGTTAGAGCATCTTTTCCATCAAGGCATTTTGCAACAGGACTCAAATGCCTCTCTGATAAGAACAATGGTATTTGTTTATAACAAAACACATAAATTACGCAAAATTTCAAAACTTTAACTTTGGAAGGAGAGGTACCTAAATTCAAAATTACAAACACTAGAAGAACTATAAGCACCAGCAAGTTAGGAAGCACTGTGAGCAACTCTCTAGATCATCAGCTCTGGAAAGGAGGCATGCAGAATGTGAGACATTAAAATCAATGCTTTCATCAACACTGGACACATATCCAAGATGGCTATAAAAATCAAGTATTATAACTCAATACTGAAGTGTCATCACATAAATAAGTCAACTCTTCAAGCAAGCATACAATTTTACACTAATATCTGGACTAGACTACATCTGGAATTTGTACAGCAGCAACTTATCTGAAAACATTTTGCTGACTCAATGGAAAAGCAATTCTTAATTTCTTAATATCAACATCTGATTATTCCATTTCATATACATGATCCTCATCTGGTTGCACTTCTAAGTATTCTTGAAGCTTGCTTTTCTTTTAACAATCCATCCAAAAATAGTCACCTTTTTTCATTTTTACAATGAGCTGTTGCCTTCTGCCAAACTAGAAATGTAACACTCTTTTCTAGACAACATAAATAAACAAGTTCTAAATATTCTCATACCCTTCCCATCCACAGAACTGCTGACATTTTTGCTGTATTCCTCCTAACTTTGGTTGTGTTGTCACTTGGGTCACATATTTAACTGTTATTCCTTCCAAGAAAATTGCACCCTGAATAAAGACAAAATTCAGAAATTGTTATTTAAGCCTTATAAAAGCAGATCAGAACATGTCAATACAGGATTTAAGTTTTTTTTTTTTTTTTTACAGCTTGATCTCAAAAGCAATACTAACTTAAATATTCCTTGAGGATTTACCCCAAAATATCAATACATCAGCTGAGCTTTGCCAGTAAACTCACAGGCGAGCCACACTATGAACCCAGGAACAAAAATGAGCTGTTCATTGGGGAAAAAAATAAAATAATCATTAAAAAAAAATAAATAAAAGAAGGTAAATGGTATGGGATAGGCACTGATTACCTACTACTCTCAAGAAAGCTCCCACATCAAGCTACAGCATCAGTCTGACATGATTTTTCACTTATAACTAAAATGTTTTGATTTTAAAAGAAAGTACAATAGTATAAAGTATTTAATAATAAATTAGTCACATATGGAATATGCAGGAATCGAATTAATCACCCCTAGTACATAAATATTACATAATAATAAATTAGTGTACGACATCTATTTGCAGATGAGAATTTGAACCCAAACAGTACTGTAAGACTGGAGCAAACCACTTTATGTTAAAGGTCACAAAATTCTTTGTGGCAGAAGGCTTTGTGGCTCCACTTTTAAGTGTGTCAAAAAGTATGGTGTCAAAGTAAGTGAACTGGAAACTAAGAATAAAACTGATCTATGAAATCTTAAATAAAAATCTTTAATATGTAAATATTATTTCTAGACCAACAATTCTGTACTTTCCTTGATTTATGGAAAGTAAGAACTGCTCACTAACAGGAAAGATCTGACCTAAGATAAACACAAATAGCTTGGTAATTAGTGAATTAAACTCACTGGGAAACACCTTTAGACATCAGGTTTTTGCTGTGTTGGGTTTTTCTTAAAAAAAAAACAACTCAGCAGATGAAGTCATTAAGTCCTACTTTTCAGCCTCCCAATCTTTGAGATGCATGTTTTTAATTACACATTTAATTTTAATCAAACCAACATGGTAATTCCAGTACAAGAAGCTCAATTACATGGATTTCACCTCCAGCTGGTTTATCTACATTGTATGTCTCAAAACTTAAACTTACACTGTAGAGAAAACAATTGAAAGAATCAATGTACTTATGCAGCAAAATTAAGAGGTTCTCAGTTAATCTGGGAGAAACATCTTATAAAAGAGAAAACAAAACCAACTGTTTTGTAACAAAATAGTCATATAAAAATATACTTGCATAATTCCCTCTTCTATGAGGACAAGCTGAGAGAGTTGGGGTTGTTCAGTCTGCAGAAGAGAAGGCTCCAGGGAGATCTTATTTCAGCCTTCCAGTATCTGAAAAGGGCCTACAAAAAAGCTGTGGAGGGACTTTTCACAAGGGCTTGTAGTGACAGGATGAGGGGTAATGGGTTCAAATTAGGAGAGGGGTGATATAGATCAGATGTAATGAAGAAGTTCTTCACTGAGCTGGTGGTGAGACACTGGAACCAGTTGCCCAAGGAACCTGTGGATGCTCCCTTCACTGAATGTGTTCAAGACCGGACTGGATGGGCTTTCGAGCAATGTGGTGTAGTGGGAAGTGTCCCAGCCCATGGAAGGGGGGTTGGAAATAGATGATTTTTAAGGTCCCTTCCAACCCAAACCACGATGATTTGATTCTATGATTTTATCCTCAGCCTAAAACACGTTACTAAAGGGAAGGTGCTATCCTGAATGCCACAGAAAAGTAGACACCAGTAAAAGAATACCAAGTATAAAACTCTAAGATAACTTGTATATTGCAGAAAATGTTTGACGCCAAGTGAAATAAAAACAAATTCTGCGCATGAGAACACATATGAAGCCATCAGGGCTACAAAGTTACATAATGAAAAGATTTCTAGAGAGAACCCAAATTGACCAGACTTTTTTCCAACAGCATCTCAAGTAAATTCTCCATGCAGATGAAGAAGATCAAAGCATGAAGTTTCACCCGTTAAGCTATGAATCCTGCAAATGAAGATTCTAGTATTTTGTATATGTTCTCTAAAATGCTTGAAACTTGCCTTAGCAAATCTAGCTGCATACTGCTGATGAAAGGAGCCTTTTTGCTCCCTTCCCTTTCCACACACCAGAGCACTCATCTGTTCTAATCTTTAGGAAGTCTAGGAACTAAGTTAGCAAAAATAACATCAATTTTCTGCTAAATTACAATCCTAAACGAGCTCACCATAGGATGGGTCAGCACTGATAACAGCACAAGGGAAGCAGGAGGAACACAAGGAGTGCAGGGAAAGGAGGACCGCAGTCTGCAGTACAGCCTGTGTTAAGATTGGCTCAGCTGCATCATCAAATCATATTCTGAGAACAGTAGATCCTAAAGAAATAAGCTGATTTATAACCTTAACTACATTAAGCTCTACAGACTTTCAGCACTTCACTTACCTATGCTATTTATGTGGGCACCAGCAAACGCAATAGGACACAGGTGACTGGCTGAGGAATGCAGACAGCTAAACATGCCTGGCCAGCATGCTGTCTGATCTGTAAGTGGTTAAGAGCATCATGAAGTAAAGGAAGATGGTTGCACCTTTCTTCTCAGAATGGCAGAGTGCAACAGCAGTACAACTGCCAAGATTAAAGCAAAAGGCAGGCAATAAGAAAGATTTTCCAGAAAATAAAGTCATAATCATGAAACTGGTGCCTGCCATTTGAAAGTGTCTCTTGCAGCTTACATGCCTCTAGTGTACTCAATAGCTAATGCCCAGCATCATAAAAACAAGGGGAGCCACCAGGGCACCTATGCTTGGCTAACTCAGTGCTCCAGGTTTCATGATCCAGATCCACACACTTTGTGCACCACTACTGGGCTAACAGCACACTGTGGAAACTGGACACAGGAAAACATGGTGCAGAGATGCCAGAGCACTCAGCTCAGCAGAACCTCGGGTCCTCAGCACTACTACTAAGCCAAGAGTTATAGTGGATCCAAGGTAACTAGGTGCACTCAATCTGCACAAGCTTCACACCATCTGTACAACAGCAACCCTCCACCCATCACTTAAGCTGAAGGAGAAGTGGCAATGCGTACATATCATCCTGTGTTGTTTCAGATCCTAAACACCATCTGGAGGAGTGGGTGAGTGGGAACAGCCCCAAACACACACCGCCCTGACACACACCTCCCTGACCCTAGTGGCTGTCACCAGGCCTAGGTGATAACTATCTTCAGCTACTCAGACTTGACCAAGTGCTGGTAAGTTCAGGGACTTCCTTTTAGAGGAAAATAAACATTTCAAAACATGTCAAGAAGTGAGAGAGTTTGCCTCTTCTAAAAGAGAGGAAAAGAGAGTCAGGGAGTTACACTGCCTTAGATCTAATACTTTGAAATACAGTTGCTGTTGGAGCAGGTTCAGAGGAGGGTCACCAAGGTGATCAGAGGGCTGAAGCACCTCTCCTTTGAGGACAGGCTGAGAGCACTGGGGTTGTTCAACCTGAAGAAGGCTCCAGAGAGAACTTATGGTGGCCTTCAAGTACCTGAAGGGGTCCCATAGGAAAACTGGGGAAGGACTGTGTACAAGGCTATGTAGTGATAAGACGAGGGACAACGATTTTAAACTCAAGCAGAATACATTTAGATTAGACATTAGGAGGAAGATCTTTACTGTGAGAGTGGCGAGACACTGGAACGGGATCCTCAGAGAGGTGGTGAAGGCCCCATCCCTGGAGACATGAAAGGTCAGGCTTGATGGGTCTCCGAGGAACCTGACCTAGTTAGCTTACCGCAGGGGGGTTGGACAAGATAACCTTTAAAAAAGGTCCTTCCAACCCAAAGCATTCTATGATTATACAGGACAAAAATCCCAAGAACTGCCTCTAAGTATGTAAAAGCAAAAATCACACAACAAAATCATACTGACTGTTGCTCAGTAACAACAGTGTGGAACTAATCATTCAATTCCGGTGATGAAACAGGCTTCAGAGAATAAGGAGCAGAATGAAACGTCACATCTTTTGATATTGCCATTTGTCTGTTGTTTGCTTGTCTTGTACTTAGAAAGGATCTCAGAAAACATGGAGTAGATGTAACTTCTATAAAACCGAAAAGCACCCTGTTTCAAAACCCAGTTCAGAGGAGTTAGCGTTTCACTAACAAAATGGAGGAATATATTGAGAAGGATCTGTGGGGTCTGCTTTAGGTTTAAGAGAATTAACTTATTTGCCTTAAATTTCCTATTAGCATATTCTTTATGTGACATCTGTGAATTTAGTAACAGGGATACAGACTGTGATGATAGCTTAAGAATTCAGTGCTGTCTTTAATTTTAAGAATGGGATGGAAAAAACACTGTGCAATTCAGTATAAACAAAATTCTACACTTAATAAGCAATTATACAAACACACGCTGGTATATAATTAGAGAAGATACGGAGGCAGCAAGAGACCAAAAGCTGAATTAGTATTATTCTGTCTTGTAAAAGGCAATTATATTGAGATATATAAACACAAGTATTAGCCTTAAGATATGTGAAATTAATTCCTCCCTGTTAAGCACTAGGATGGCCTCAGCTAGAGGTTTGTGCTTGATAATAGTCAACATAGTCTCAGAAAAACCATGAGTCAACATAACAGAATACAAGGACTGACAAGAATGGTCAGAAGTGTAAAAAATTTTACTATAGGGAAGAGGTGAACAAATTGGCAGCTAGTATGGAAAAAAGAAGGCTAAAAGGAAATGCTATTGCAGAATCATTAAATAACCTTTCTCCCATATCCATCAAGATGCTGATGGGCAGAACAGTAAGTACAGAGTCAGACTTTAGCAAAAATAACAGGAGGTTAGGCAGAGAAGAATAGAGTCACTCATATTTAGAATCAATGTACTTTGATAATTAATAAATATTACCCTTGCTAATTATGTCAACCATGAGGTTTAATAGTTTCTTGCTGTCTCACAGATGACCACAAGGCACCTGCACTCAAAATCATAAAGAAAGTTATTAACAGCTACCATCCCTTCCAGAATGTTTTGAGATTTTAGAAGCACTATGCATCAGACCCTGTAATGTCTGTGAAACACACAGCTTACATGGGACTAGAACAGATGGCATTCCTTAATAAAGAGTAAAGGATCTTGTTGACCTATGAAAAGTTTGAAGGATCTGGCTCAGAATTACAGCTTTTTGTCCTAGTTGCAATATCAAGTATTTTTTTCCTGAAGATTTTTTTTTCCTGAACTGAGATTCTAAGTGTCAGCTAATAATGTCACTCCAATGCTACAATTATGGCATGCACTGACAAAGTCAAAATGTGTTTGGATTTCCTGCACAGCATCTGAGGCTACAGCAAACAGATTTGCTGTTACCTGTCAGCTACATCTGGGTGATGACAAAAGAAACCATTATGTTCTAACAGTCCCCACAGTTTCTATAGTGTAGAAAAGAAAGGCTGTCATGACTTTCTGACATCAAAACATGGAAATTTAGTGAAAGACGTTTCAGTAAAGTTTCTCACATCTGAGATGGAATCTCTGAAATTTACAACAAACTAACCTCACTTTACAAGCTACCTGGGCAGTTGCCTCTGACTATTCAACATCCTAGCAAGATGCTTGGGAGGCGTCTCCTCCTCTAGCCCTGAACTTTTCTTCTATCCCTACAAAGATTTGGGTCAAAATGAAAACCTTTCAGAACACCACTACCACCACATTCCACCTCTAGTTTAACACTGTTGACCCCCAGGTGTTTAGAGAAAGAGTCAAATTAGAAGGCTGAAAATATTTGTCAGGGGAAATCACCATAATGCTGAAATTCTAATCCTTTAGACAGTAAAATAAAGAAATCTGAGCAAGAGGTATTTACCTGATAATCATTCCCCCTGCAGATGGCATATTTACAAGGAACCACAAATACTCTGCATCCATCTCTACTGAGTTAAGCAGCAGTTCAATCTGCCAGCCAAGAACCATGGTAAAGAATTCTCCCCATTCCTCCTCTTCGTGTCAAAGAACGTTCCTCCAGAGCTGCAAAACTGAATTATACGAATATGCATATTAACTAGATTAGTCTTTCTTTCCTAAATCCTCTAACTCATAATTAACTTTTAGTTATTAATATGCTTATTCGTATAATTGAGCTTCCAGCTTTCCAAAAAAACTATGGTGGCAAATAAGAAAAAGCCTGGGAAGCCAGTACCATGATTCCTGTTAAACTGACCAGTTTTATTTGCTGAAAAGAGGCTGTCATAGGACCTCAACATCACACTTCATTTGTTAAAGCATCAAAAGGCAAGTAAAAAACAACGGGTTTGAGTTTCCAGCCCAAATAAATTTTTTTTAGATGTCAGTATTTTACCAGAAGGTTAAGGTAGGTAGCGGTCAGATCCCTGAATAAAAGGTGTTCAGGGATAATAATACTATGGATTTTCACAATGTGAGCAATTATTTTACTGCAGGTGATAAACTACTTGAAAGCTTTCAGTGTTTCTCCTGCTTCTTTCGGCTAGATTTTGTATTCCTTTCAGACTAATTTCTTCCATACTCCATCTGTAAACCATGTTGAGCAGCTGCAGTAACAACAAAATGTGTTTTTGCAGCATATTTTATATGAGGATTTTCAAGTGTTTGCAAACAAACACACCTCGGTACGCAAGTAAAATAATTCAGTATTATGCAAAAGAAGTGAATCTGTTATCACTCACAACATGCTCCCCTGCTTTATTTGAAGATTGAAAAAAAAAAAAAAAAGGCCAGAAATTTGGAAAGAACTGAGCCATTAGTCTTCAAATGATACAAATATATTCCTGGTACCTGATTAGAGACAACACTACTAGTCCTCATTGGCAAGAGCACTGACACTTGTATAGCATGTATTACATAGAAACTGATGACTATGAGTTTATAAAATTAAGTTTAGCAATTACAACATTAAAGTTCTTAATCAGAAATACCAGTTTTAGGCGTTCTTTTCTCCTCTTGCCAAAGGAAGAGCTTGATGATCCAGGTTCTGATTCTGGGCCTCCTGTTTTACCATTATCATCATCCTCCTCTTCATCTTCCTCAAAGCACCATTCTGGTAGCTGAGGTGGTGATGGTGCATCATCTTCATCTCCATAACGACGAAATAATTCCTTCAAATAGTCACCTTTATAAATACCTGGTGGTCTAGCCTGCGCAAAAGTAGCCACAGCAGCCTCAATACTGTCAAATAAAAATTGAAAATCACTCTGGATGCTTAGTTTACATGTTTTAGTCCTGTTACAGCTCACCAAACATAAGATTTATTGGGACTGCGGATTAAACTCCAAACTGGTCATTGTGCAAACATTCATTATATTTGAAACATGGTGCTTAGACCAGCCCAGCAACAGTTGCTCTTGCACAAGATTCTGCACAATTACACAGGCACTGTTTTAAGTTCTCAAAAATAACTGCAGCTTGCACTGCTTCCTCTCCTTATTACAGCTCATGGTTGTCTGCTGGTCATCTCGGTAAAACTTCTGTTATTGCTACAGAAAAGGAATGGGTGGCATGTAGGTAAGTACTTAAGGACAGAATGAAGGCAAAAAGACCAAAGGAAAAGATGAACTAACAATGAAGAAAAATGCAAGTGCTGAAATTCAAATACGGCTGTATTTTTCCTCCTAAGAATTATCTTTTCTGTCATTAGAGGTTTTGCCATCACACTGGCAAAAAGCACCCTAATTTTTTTAAATTAATTCTCTTTCCAGAAGTTTCTCATTAAAAAAAAACTAATTCAGAAGCCTTATACTTTGCAAATAACAATTAATTATAAGTGCTTTAATTAACTGGAGACTGGATGACAAAAAGATTAGAAACCAAAACTAGCAATCATGCACCTTTACTAGCCATTTGGAAAGCACTCCAAAACAGACAACAGCAAGCACAGCACAAGGGTTTTATTATTGCTAAATTTCACGGATCATATGAAAATGTTTAACAGAAAACACTGGACATAATTCTGTCTTTAATTCATCGTGGCTGCGTGGAGCAGTAATGATCCACAGATCAACATTTAGAAATCCTGGTAAACAACAGAGAGGAGAAATCACAGAAGGTACATGACCCTGATAGGCTTCTGGACAAGACTGTATCTTAAAAGCTGGAACAGAAGCACATTACATGCTGTGAAAAGATTCTTTTTCAGATAAGAAAACAGCCTGCCACTGGAACAAAGAAAACATATAGCTAAAATGAAAAAAGAAATAGAAATTAAAATACAAAAGGTATTTTTTTGTCTGATCTGTACAGTATGTGAGGAATTTATGAGGAAATGTTTCTTTTCTGGGAAATTCACCTACAAACAACTAAGTCTGGTTGTCTCTTTGGATCTTTGGTAAGAGGAAAAAAGAAAACATTTTCCAGAGTGAGACTATCAGATGGTTGGTCATCAGATCTCAGAAATGACAGTTTAAGAATCTCAGTTACTTAGGAGGAGCTTTCTTTCCCATTATGTTTTCTAAGACACCTAATCCTCGCAAGACACTTTTTATTTTGGTACCTTTCTTAAATTGTTTCACTTCTTCTGTAATCACTGCTATTGTAAGGACAAAACAAACCAAAATGGATGAGGCATGAAAGACACTCAAATTTGTCTCTAATGATACTAAAACTCTGTACTATTCTGGAGTAGGTGGCAATGAAAGCTAAAAGAGGCAGCACAGATTTCAAGCACAGAAACCCAGCTGAAAAAAGACATTTTACAAGTTCTAGATACATAGCAGTCTTCAGGAAAAATGAGTTGTGAAAAAGAGAATCAAGTAAGGTTTCTAACCACTAGCTGGAGAACTTTCAGTCTGGATGACCTTTCTTTAAACTAAATATAAAAAAAACACTTCTCAGTATTCACAATACATCAGCAGCACTCCTATATAATACACTGAAGGAATGAATATGGATGGATTTTTCATCAGGAAAATCTTACTTCCTCATCTAATTACTGTGTATGAATAAATGCAAGCTGGGTGTCGAGAAGGAAAGGGCAACCTCTTCTCACTTATGCCCTGCGATAGGACACGGGGTAATGGTCACAAACTGGAGCACAAGAAGTTCCACCTCAACATGAGGAAGAACTTCTGTACTGTAAGGGCTACAGAGCACTGGAACAGGCTCCCCAGGGGGGTTGTGGAGTCTCCTGCCTTGGAGACTTTTAAGACCCGTCTGGATGCGTTCCTGTGTGACCTGCCCTAGACCAGATGGTCCTGCTCTGGCAGGGGCGTTGGACTCAATGATCTGCAGAGGTCCCTTCCAACCCCTAACATTCTGTGATTCTGTGAAATAACAGTGCCTTATCTTCAAGAATGATACAGCAAATGGGATTTATCCTAACAGAGTGTTTAGCGTTTACTACCACCTTGCTGAAATTCATTCTTTTGCTGTGGACATTCTTCCCAACCAGGTGATGTCTGGCTGTTCTGTTAAAAAAAAAAAAATCTCACGGAGATGAACAAACTTGATACAATTAACTACCTGACTGAAGCAAAAAAGATAAGACACGGCTGTTAAGTTTTAAGGCTTTTCCCAATGAGGTTTGAAAATAAAGAGATGCTGCATAAAAGCAAGAGATTCAAATAGTTTCAAGTGCATTTCCTCTGCAGAACAAAGGACCAATTCTAAGTCTAATTATCGCACGCTACTCTTAAATTGTTAGATTAAAAGCATACAAATTTGTTAGTTCAAATACAGTACATATACAATAAAGATATTTGTATCTGTATCTATTTCCCATGCTCAGCTACGATTCTGCCAAGATTCAGCCACCCACTACTAATGGTATTCTGTCTCCATTACCACAATGTCTTTATTCTGAGTTTACTAATGGACAACAATGACCTAGTTCTTTGCCAACAGCTTGCACATACATGCTAAGCACCAAATAACTGTATGTCTAGTCATAAAAAAATGCTGCAACAGGACTAGAATTTTCTTCATGTAAAGGACCATACAAGATACATCATCAGAACACTTAAGGGGCTTGTTAAGAAACATGCCTTGAACAGGACCTTGTCAACAAGCACATAGTGTTCCATGGAGACTACCAAACATGGTGAAGTCATGCCCACCAGCAGGGAAAGGGCAATTTATTTTTTTTAATTAAGATCACTACTCCTCATGAATGCATCAATAATTTAAAATTTTAAAAAATTGCAGGTAAGTCTGTATGGAAGCATGCTGTAGATTTCAAAAAGCTGGAAACAAGGACTTTGTCTCCCTCTAACTCTTCAGCAGCAAGTATGTCCCTCTGCTGTTGCTCAGCTAATCTCTTCAGAGCTCAAAAACAAAAAAAAGGGCTGGATGCAAACAAAAAAGTAAGAGAAATAATCTTTCAGGCATCTCTGAACTCTACATTCTTACTCAAAATGTGGGACATGTGACAGGGAAGAAACACAACAGAATATATACACTCCTAGAAGCCGACACAGCAGGCACAGCTGACTTTTGACCTACTGAAACTGAAAAGCTTGACTGAAACAAGCTAAGATACCAAAGGAAGATATGAATAAGGTTAATAGAGGTTGTTTCTCAAGATTAGTAGGCAGTTTTAAAATAGCAAACAGTGAATATGTTAGGATAGCTGTCAGGACAATGAGTGAAACATACTGAAGATGCCTTTGCTCACTCTCCACAAATCCCTAGGAATTAACATTCAAAATTACCTCCAGTCCAACTTCTCGACCAAAAAGGCACAGATCAGAAATCCAGTTCTGTTGAAACCATGTGTGCAATGGACACCTAGACAACACAAGAAAAGGGAATAACCATCTGCAAATAATTTTTACAAACACGCTTTATTTTCACAGTGTCTTTTTGGATCCTTCTACATTCATAAGTAACATTAAAGAGTTATGTCCCTTCCCAGATCACGTAAGGCACATAAGCCTAAAAGGCAATTTATTAGCAACAAGAGTACAGGACACTTCAGTTTATTCCAACTCAAGAACTCAGCTGAAATACGGCTAATGCACAAAAGGTTCAAAGTAATTTTTTTAAGACTGCTCATATGCTTGTCAGAAGACAATACAATCAAGTTCAGAAATTATGCTTTTAGTGCATTCAACATTCATTCATTTCACACCATCAGGCATAAAAAAAAATCACATCCAGATTACCCCACCTCAAACTTGAAAGCAGTGTCAGTAGACCACAACTCCATTTCAAATTTGGTATTACCATGCCAAGAACAGACTTGGTAATTTAAAAAAAAAAAAAAAAAAAAAACTACAAAAAGAAAACTATACAACAGTATAATCACCTTGAATTACTTATCTTTTCAATGTTAAGAAAAAAGAATTAAGGCTTCAGCCCGTACTTTACTGAATTCATCTCCCAGTAAAAAGAGAATAGTCAAATGCAGTGGAACTTTTATTCCTGCCAAGGCAACAGCACCATCTAGTGATAAACAAATTAGTCAGAAAATCTGTTCCATTAAAAATGTCATGAAGGATTCAGGTGATATGTTATGTCTTCCTCAGACTGCATTTTAAATTATAAATATCAGAGTATTTCCACTAACACCAAATGCAATTATTCTTAATATTAACATATTTTTCAGTTATGACCATGAAGTCATTTAAGCTTTTATTGATTTCCTTATTTCTCTACCATAGTTAGGTAAAGCAAGTTCAGCAAAAATTCACTTGATGATTAATCAGAAAAAATGTGAATATGTCTTTTTTTCTAAATGCTCCCCTATGCTGGAAGCACTCTTTTTTTTTTTTTTTTTTTTTCCAAAACTGGACATCTGAAAAATGCCTACAAAGAGTAGACTGATAAAATCCAGAAAGCTGATATTGGTAAACAGAAATATGTATCAACCCTATCAGGATAGGGCTTTGTGCTCACTCCACCAAGCTTCCCTTCTTCCTAAAGCAAGGAAAAACTACTACAAATTTAATGGGTTTATCCATTCTAACCATTTAATAATATGAAAAACTGTGCAACTTGCAGCAAATGAAATCGATTTTAGCTTCCTTCTAGAATCTGTTCTCAGCAATCATTTCTTTTTTGTTTTCTACTTCAGGAAAATTTTTGCATTCTGTTTCCCTAAGGTTGGCAGGCATACCCAAGTCCTTCATTTTGCAAAAATGAAGTCTCCATCCTGTATTGTTCTAGCTGAATAGAAAATTTTGTTCACTTATCATTCACATTTCAGTCTCTTTTCACATCTGATCTTGACACTGGAAATGAAATGGCACACAGTTGCTACCAGTAAGTCCTGCAGCTGTTACTGCTACCAAGAAGGTTAAGTCAGTAATTTTACACATGTGACAAAGATAAGAAGCATGTCAGAAATGAGACCAACAGCTTGGAAGGGAAAGATCACCCAGGGTGCAGTACTATCAGTGCTGCACACTGCTTTCACTTTTGATAAAAAAACACCAGGGACTCTACACCAGTCCCTCTGATGCTCCGTCAGAGGAAACAAGTGTCCAGAACCAGAAACAACTTTTCAGTAAGCCATGGAAGAGAAATGAAGGGAAATGGAAAATCCCAGCATTTCTCTTTTACCATGGAAGCCTAAACCACAGGTTATTTAAGAGGTTAGTCAACATATTTTCTTTTAGATTCTTTCTAATTTACTTTTTTTCCCCCATAGAGATGAAACGATCTAAATAATAGAATAGCATTCCAAATTTCATAGAAGCCAAAAAGTTAGTGACCCAGTACTAAAAACAGCATTTTAAAAGTTGAAATACCAGTTAAATGGGCCTGTTATTTATAGCATATCACCATGCTATCCATGCACCATATAAATTGCTGATTATAACAATATTTCAAGTTCTGAAATACTGTTGGAGAACCAAGTGGAGGAACTGTGAAAGAAGAGTGAGCGGGATCAGTTATCAACAATATTTCAAGTTCTGGTGCAAGTTCTGTAATATTGTTGATGACTGATCCCACTCACTCTCTTTTTGCAGTTCCTCATTTTTCTTATCACATATTTGTTGTTACAGTTTAGAGAAGAAAAACAGGTCTCAAATAAAAATTGCATTCTATGTGAAAGAAGTAAGAAGGTACCCAAAAGAAAATTATGTGAAAATGTGCCCAAATTAAATCTCTCAAGTGTTTTTTTAAAAAAAAAAAAAAAAAAAAAATTTCTCAGTGGTATCCTGTGACAGGACAAGAAGGAACTGGTACGAACTGCAATATAATAAGTCCTATTTAAACATTAAAAAAACCCACAACTGTATATTACAAGGGTAAGTAAACACTGGAAGATGTTGGCAGATGATGTGGAATTTCCAAGCTTGGAAATGGTCAAAACCCACATGGACACAGTCCTGAGCAAGCTGCTTCAGCCAGCCCTGCTTTAAGGAAGGGCAACTGCCTAGCCAGTTTCCACAGATCCCTTCCAACACCCTCATCTACTGTACAATTCTATAATGCTGTATAAATCCTACTATGTCTGAACATACCAGCTTAGTTTACCAAGCTCTTATCAGTGACACCCACTTAAACTGTTCCATGGACTCCCAAGTCACACAGACACTCACATTCAGGAAGGCTGCAGAATTATCATCACAGAGGCTTGAGGACAACACCCATTTTGACTTGGGAAACTCAGCTTCAAAGTAGTTTTTTGTCTCTGACAGTTTTCAGATTGAGTTTGACATCAATATGCTTAACAGAAATCAGAATAACTAAAACTAGAAGCCACTCAAATTAAACTGAAAATTTCTTTTGCTCTATGTAAAAACAAACAAACAAAAAAAAAATTATCCTTAAGAACATTCACTGAGACAGTATACCACAGAAGAAAAACTTAGCCTAATATCTAGTACCACTTTCCAGCAATTAATCAGCTGTTTTATGAGATATGCTAGGAATCTCTGATCACTCAGTTACCCATTCTGACTGCAAGTAAGCCAGACCACCAAATGCCAAAACAATACTTGGGCAATACAGAACCTGCACCTGTATCAGCAGAAGTTACAAATTCACAATGCAAATATCACGTATTTATAGACAGTTCTTAAACCTGTATATTTTTCCACATTAAGTCAATAGCTGTAATCAAACTGATGGATGCAGAAAGATACTAGCTTCTGTAGAAAACCAGAAGCTAGTTTCTGGAGTAAAAGCCAATCAAATCTATATATGCATGAACACTGTACTGACGGAATTCCTTTGCTTGGGCTTTTAAGAATAAGACACTGCAGTTATGAGTAAAAAAATAAATGAATTAACAGTAAAAATTTATGATAGGCATAACAGATGCAAGAAGACATACCTATAAGCTCTGAGGGGTTCTTATCACTGAAGTGTTCACATACACGGATGAATGTTTCTGTATTCTCAGGTGTAGGGCACTCGCCATGCCTGGGACACACAGGAACACAGAGGTCAGAAGATAGTTGGGGGAAACAACAGAAGGGGGAGAAGATCAATTACTTCAGTGTCATCTTTCAAATTAAAAAGCTAAATATTTAAAAAGTGCAGAAAACTTACCCTTTACACTGGAGCTTTATATATTTAATCCCCTCTTTCTCTATATCATTCCTATCATAGAATCTACTGGTGTTGGTCAAGTCTATCAGTAAACCCATTTTAACCTAAAAAAAAAAAAAAATTTAAATGTAATTAAATATAAACTAAACCTTAATGTTGTTCGAGTAAAGTATTAGGGCAGAAATACTAAATGGTTAATAACATCCAAATTAGAAGCAACAGCAGGCTACAGCTGCAAGTTTAAAAATTCTTAAATACTCCATTTGTTCATAAAAACCTGTATTTTACCACTATCACAGTCATCTGTGTTTCTTTGTGAAAGCTGGTGTCTGAATTAGCACTAGCCATCAATTCAAAAACTTCATTCGCTCCTACCAACATTTCTAAATAAGAAAGATCTGGTAAAGAATTATAAGGGCAGAATCAGGTGCTCTTATTCTTTTAGTTAGAACAATATTAACCACTGGCACAGTAGAAGTATCGTAAGAACAATTAACTTTTGAGACTTATACATACAAGTATACTTTCAGAAGAAACAATTCAATCTACCTATCCCTTAGAGTGAAAAGCAAATGAAGACATTTTCAAGTTTAAAACAAAAATTTCCTTACATTCTCAGAGACATTTTATTCAAAGCTAAACTGTGAAACAACTTGAAATCTTCAAAGGTGCTGTGAGTAATTAAGGTGGCAGTACTGACCCCTCAGATGTTAGGATGCACCTGAATTCAGGCTGCCTCGTCCACTCCACCCTAACATGACTCCTTGTGCACGAAAATCCTTTTTTAGTGTTTGGGTTTTATAGCTGTACAACAGGTCTTTTCAAGTATCCTTGTGGAAGTTTTTACACTAGTTTTTAAACAGTAAGATGGAAAGCAGCAATTCCACTGGGTGTCATCCAACACACAGAGAACGTCACCAAAGCGCATCCTACTGATCCTTGGTCCAAAGAGAATTTCCACTAACCTTATACCTCCCAGCACTACTGAAGAAAAAACATCTCGATAACATGCTTGTGTACTTAAAGTATTCCTGGTTTCCTGCCTCATAAGTAATTGCTTTTGGTCAAAATGTTGAATGTCATGCCTTCAAGTAGGATCCTCACTATGAAACCAGATGTATTCTTGAAAGGCATTTTAAGAGTCGTAGCAGTTTACCAAAAACCTTGCTGCATAGCTTTGTCTTTTTTAAAGTTACACCAATGGTGCACTTAAAAATATATTAACACTGAAGTATGTTAGGCATGCAGCAACATAGAAGAACACTACATCTTCAGTAGATTTAAAACTCCAGTACACAGTCATAAACAAGATTTTGATCAGGTTTTACTTCCCTTAAGGTCAACAAACTGGCAATAATTTAACAGCACAGGTGGAAGAACAACACATTCAAACACTGCTTCCAGACATTTCAGAAAAGAAAAAAATCCACTTATAATTGGAATACAGGTCAGAAACAACTGCTTCACATGGATATGTTGTTCAGCAGACCCCAAAGACAAATTTCCAATTATCTACAGAGGTAGTTATCCATGGTATTCAAAGTTCTGATGATAAACTTTCATAATGCTTCTATACTTCCATATTTTTATTTATCATCTATTAAAAAGTATCATAACGTTATGTCAGCAGCATTAAGCATTTGTAGTGCAACATCTAAATCTGTTCTGAATTTTTTCTTGTTTACTTCAACTTTGTATACTGTATTCAGAACTATTTATTTTTATTACTGTATTTTGTGGAAATATAAGCGACTTCAGTAGGGGTCCACCTGAAAACAGTATTGTATCACCTGAAATTTCAAATATTTAGTGTCAACCAAGCTGCTAAACATCCAGACTGACAGCATACTAACCAGTGAATAATTTTTCCTTTCCTACAGTTAATTCAGTGACTACTGTCCTTCCCCGCCATTCTCAATAGCGTTTAGCAAGTATCTCAAAGACTACTCAATTCACAAGAAACACGACACGAAGCTTTCAGGTGGTACACGCTGTAGGTCCATAACCCTACAGCAGTGACATAAACCAGTCCAAAATAACTGTTCAGAGGAGAATGACATATTCACACATGAGTACTTCTAGGTGATTGCACAGCACAACGTGCTAGGATAGAAAATTACATCTAAAATGAGCTAGTTTTATGAAAACTATTTCAATATTTTTCTACCATTGTACACAAGCAATAGCTCCATGGAGGGAATCCACTGAGTATCTTCCAGTAACATGCCATGTCCCAAAAAAAAAAAAAAGAACAAACCATAAGAATCACCCTTTGCATTCTGCATCCTATCAATAGTGTGGTCAGAGTTGGCAAAAAGACTGATAGGAGAATCAGGTTTGTTTTCACCAGAGAGCTCTAGACTATGAAGCCACATACTTGACCTCCTAACTACTCTCCTTCCCAACTTCAACACAGACCAGCTTCATAATCTTTTATGTACAATATGGAGTTGAGTGTAACACTTCCAAGATGTCCTCAGCTAAGAGGGAAAAAAAAAATATTTTCAAATTAAGAGTTAATGAAAACATCATTTCAAAGTGAAGGTTTTTGCATTCAGTTCCACTCTAGCAAGAAACGAGGATTCCAAGATGTGAATTGTTCTTAAAACAAAAACACTATATCATCTGTCAGTCTGGAGAAAAGGAAATCATGAGGAAAACAACCTTTAATAAAAGCATGAAGACAGATTAAATATATGACAGATTAAATATATTTCTATTTATATAAACATATTTATGTTATATATGTTATATTATGTTACATATGTTTATTTATATAAACATATATAAACTGTTTAATGTAACGATTGTTAAAGGAAAGCTACAAAAAGAAATGCAAGTAATTTGCAGAACATAGCTTCATGTCTTCCCATCCAAAAGCAGACAAGATACAATTCCATTTTAGTGTTGAAAACTCAAAGTCTATTCCCAACCCAACTGTTCTCAAATACCAGCAGCTTGGAATGTTCCCACCAGAAGCCTCTAAGCTTCCCCAATCTCCTGCTACAATGAAGCATTATGTCTGAGAAGATGCATGAAAGCACGAAAATTAATTTTATGTCAAAGTTTTCAAATGTAAAGAATACTTGCATGCTTTCCCCTCAACATTTAGAAATTACTCTTTTGAAAACACAGATATCAGTTTTGTGACTGGCATGTAGAAACCAGAACACTACAACATACTTCAGACCCAAAGTGTCACCAAATAATTGAGATGTTATATTTAATTGTTGTATTCGAATTAAATGCAACAAAGTGTCTTCTAGAGAGAAAATTATGAACTACAGGACTCCAGGACTCCTGGCCTGCTATTCCCCTGCAATTTTTAAAAATCATTTCAATCATGTACAAGTGGAGATCTTGTGAAATGACACTGCTTCTCACATATTTCATGAAGCAGTAAACCAAATGGGCATCCAATATAATTTAGCTAAAGCTATAAAAGCATATACGGCAAAGTATACAATGATGATGTTCCAAAACCCACACAAAAAAAGCCACCGGTACTACAGGAATCAAAACATTTCAGTCACTGAACCAGGGTTATACTGTGTTTCTCCTGACAAACCACAATTCTCACCTATAAAACAGATTCTAGCACACGTACATTCATCACACAGGTCCTTTGCTCTGCTCTGAAACCCTGACATCACATGTTACTACAGTCATCCTCTCAGTCACGTTCTCTTAAGTTTACTCCTGGAAAGTTAATAGGAGCTGATTTTTGAAAGACTGAGCTAAAATAGATAGCCACCCCCTGGAAAAAACTTTTTCTAGCCAATGTTTTGTATGAATCGCATTTTTCAGCCCACCACACCCATTGAACGACACAGCTTTGGGAGAAATAATAATTTTAAATTCTTCAGCAACTTCTCACTAAAACATACACTTATTTCTTACAAGGACTGTTGCAACACTCATCTTAGGCATCAGATTGAAATATAACTGAAACAATTTTTTTTGCTTCTATTGTAAAAGACAGCTGGATAGAAGGGGGGGGGGGGGAAAGCTCATTGATAGTTTGAAATTCTCATTTTCTACATAAAATAGTACCAAGACCTTCACACCACCTCCATTCGGCTCACACTTATTTTGGCCAGGCTCTCCATTTCCTCCTACACCTATAAATGCCTTCCTCCTCACTTTCTCACATTCCAACTATCTCCAGCTATTAATCTCTTATGTGTGCACTCTTCTGGGCTTAGCTTGGTTCCCCTTGTATGACCCCGTAAGTTTCTCATTAGACACTGAAACTTGAAAACATCCTCCCCAGGAGGGAGAGAGCATACTACAATACACTGAATTCTCTCCAGTCCCAGGATTTTTTCTTCCATTTCTTGTTTGAGAAAAGTAGTTTAAATCAATGATTGAATTTATCTGTGAGAACAATAATGTGGCTGAAAACCTGATAACTAGTTTTCCTAAGAGGAATATTGTAACTGGAGCATATTAATTCACCAAACATTCTTTTGAGTTAACTAATGTACCAACTTTTCATAATGGAAATAAAACTACCTTTTTCAAGGCACAAACAGTACTAACCTACCTCCTCAGGAAATATAAAACCAAAAACTATCCACAGTCACTACCTGCGCTTGCAATTTTTTTATGAGACCATTAAGATACTATGTCAATATTGGCAACCAGAAGAAAAAGAGGGTTGCTACTCCTTATCAAGTCAGTTTCTAACGTTCAGATTTTCAGCAGCTAGCTCCATGAGAAAAAGGAATCACACAGTAAGCTTGTTAGAGAAAGATCCTCCCAGGTAGATACTGTCTTAAATGTTGAACTGTTAGCTTCAAAAATCTGTGGTAGCAGTAATATCTCACCAAAATTCCGATGTAAAGGTTTCTGCTGAAGTCTCTTACTTGGGAGATAAATTACACGGATTTAAGCAATAAACAGGTTTCTGAAGTGATTCATTCTGCAAAGTATTAGCAGTAAAAGACACTGCAGTAAAATTATGAGAACCGTGTACAGTGAGCTACTTTTGCCTTGGGAAAATCCAGTTTTCAAAGTCTCTTCAAATGCACGTTCACCTCTTTGCCAGATTGTTGGTAAACTGCTGCTCTACAAACAGAGCACTCTAGTAAACCACTCCATATCATATGGATATGGATATCTATATCCATATCAAGACAATATAATACATTTGATGAGAGCAGGGAGTTTGAGAGAAATTACATGTTCTGCTTGTTGGAGAAAATTACCAAAATGTAAGTGGGGATCCTCATGCCACTAATTGTACTTTCAGATTCTAATCATCTGATGTCACTCAAGACATGATGAATTTTAATATTGCAATAGAACTGATCGATGTGCCTAGTGGAAAGGTTATGAAGGCTCACCGCGATTTCTTTTTTGGTGAGAAATCACTAAGAAGCAAATAGTCAGAAATTCTAAGTCAGTCTCTGAAGTCCTCTAGAACTTCAAAATATACGCAGAACTGTAAACTAAATAATTAATAACACTGGTTTTGGAAAATTTCTGGGTATGCCAATCAAAGCCAGTTAGAGTCAAACAACTTAAAGCATAAAAGAGGAACTTAAGTAAAATTTAGATGCATAGATCCAAGAATCCAAACAAGAAAAAAAACTACCAGTTCAAGTGCCTGAGAACAGGCACATATGTTTCACTGATAGTACCTTCTTATCACACTTCTCAGCCCACAGGCACCTCTATTGCTGCTACACTGAGTAGCTCACCAACTAATTCATACCTAGACCCTTAAAAAAAAAAAAATCATAAAATGAAAATTCCCATATTTTAGTCACCTGATTCTTCAGACATTCAAGCTCTGATATTATTAAATAAGTTTAGAACTAATTTAACTTATATCAACAGAAAAAAAAATAGGAAAACAAACAAACAAAAAAAAACCCACAAAATATGTTACTAGAGCCATTAGCTTTATAAAAAATACAGTCAAAATAATAGTGCTAGCCTTCTACATAAGAGTTTAATCCCATTTCCCACTTCCCCAGATGCACTGGACTGGGAACACACTTCACAGACCTACACAAAAGACTGGAAAGTTCCTGCTCCACACCTTTGTTGTCGAAGTTGTGCTACCATGCAGAACAACATGTAAGTTGAAGCAGAAAGGCAGAAATAAGAGAAACAGACAATGAAGAAATAAGCCAGCAGCACAACTCTGTAACCCAATGATAAAGGCATCCACCCACCTTCCTGAGTTCACATCCATGCTCCTAAATTTTTTTTCTCCTATTTATGCCCTTTTTTTCCCTTTTTCACTAAGACGTTACAGGATCAAATTGTTTTCTTCCATACCTGAGTATGACTGGTTAGATACCATAAAGCATTCTATGCTTCAAAAGAAGGAAAACATGCATTGAAGCTACAGAAGAGTTCTCTGAAATTCTCCTTTCACTTTTAAACGTTTTCACTCCTATAAGCCAAACTGCAGCTTAATATATCCATACACAAGAGCCATCTGTAAAACAACAAATGCAGACTATCTGAATTTTGACAATAACATCACTGCAAGATGCAACAGTAATAACACAGAAGAGCGAGATACTTGTTGCCAATACAGTGAATGAGATGGAGTATTCTGCATGATTCTTGCCTGTAAAAAAGTACTTTTTGAAATTTAGGACTTGCAGAGAAAGCCTGAAAGTGTAAACAAAAAAAACCTTTATATTTTTTTTCTACAGATGCCCTGAAGGAAGCCACCAACCACTTCTTTCTTAAATCTGAAAAGCAACATTCAAATGTATATTAATAATCAAAGTAGTCTTTCAATTACTAGAAAATTTAACTTTACCTTCAGACTCTTTAAGTAGTTGGATAACATACTCGGGTGAAAACGATTCTCTTCAGCAACCTGTTCATCATATCTTGGTCCTAACATTGTCTTCAAAGGTAAAAACTTCCCTACAAAGATAATCAAATTTTGCAGTATTTTATGTATACTCATGTATATGTTCACTTACAACATAGCAATTTCAAAGCAACATGCTGAGCAGATTTAGAGGTTCACCTTCTATAAAAAATAATAAGATGGAAAGTATCAACAGCAGTTGAACTGGAATATTTTTTGCTTAGGAGTTCTCAGAATTCACAGAAAAGTTTACGAGTTTAAAGGAAATACAGGTCAGCTCATCTAAAAGAAAGTAATTTAATATTTTTAGCTGGCTTTTAGTATGATTCCAGCTGCAAAGCTACAGTACACAACAGCATAGAGAACATTTAAACTTGGTACAATTAAACACATGAGAATAGCATTTTACATGGCACCATGCAAGCATCAGCTCAGATTACCTGCAATCATAAACCATGGTAAAGATCACTGGGAAAAAGAAAGCATTAGTCCAGACCGTGTCTGCACTGCAGATCTTCCGAATGTGCTGCTTCAGGCTTGTTGGAAGAGTTCTGTGGCAGTGTTCAACCCTCCCCCAAAACACATCTACATGGGGTACGGACATCAGGGAAGTTACAAAACAAAAACTCGACCTGAGTTAGTGCTTACTGGACTACATCCATCACTCCCTAGAAGACCCCAATTTTTTTAATATTGATTTTATTTTTCATCCATCATGTCCACCACAGAACATCTGAAATCATGCCATTAGAGACCTCTAGCTCTTTCTTTCTGAAGCCCTTTAGGCTAGAAGCATGCCTCTCTCTCCAAGTGCAGCAGGAGCCAGTATCTGAGCAGCACGTACTGACCCAGCAGCTCTTCCAAACAGACCAGAACTTCATGCTCAGGTCACTGCCATCACGTGTGGTGGGAAGCAGCAGACCTCCCGCCCCATGCACCAGGAACCTGGTACTGCAGTCACTGGTGGAAAAGGAAGGCAAATGAAAAAAAGAAAGAGACCTGGCATGTCTGCCCAGACACACAAAGATCAATGATATAAACAGGGAGTAAAAGTGGAAAAAACTTAGCATTCCTAGCTATGAAAATATTGAAATTAATTATATCCCACAACCAATCAAATAAACCCTCCCCCAAGAAAACACAAAAAATATTGCCCCAGAACTTCCCTCCTTTTTTTTTTTTCTCCTCAAAAAAAGTTTTTCCATGCTGTTAAAAAGACAGCCGTTATGAAAATAAAGGATACACTACCATACAACTGGGTGGCACAGAAGAGCACCAGAAATGCTGTGAGGTTTTTTTTTAATGTAGGAAGAACTCCAAATTGGAGCACCACACATAAATCTTTAAGGAGAAAAAGTGCTGCTAGATCTATTTTCTAGAGGGGGAAAAAAAGGTTCATTCTACAGATGAGTACTTTTTAACCTCAGTAACTTTTAAAATAAATTTTTCCTATTTAGAAACACAAATACCCACATGATATTTTGAACTTAGGAAAAACAAAACACCTTTCTATACTACCCTTAAACCACCTGACGCATCTGTTCAGCTGCATCCAGTAGAGTAACAGCCACTAGCCACAAATCTTTAAGCCGTATTTAATAAGTTCAGTTTTACATCCTCAAGTGAACCAGCAGACCCAGCACTAGTCATAGAAAATTCTTCTAAATGATTCATGAAAATACTGCTTTCTCAACAAGACAGAGCATTTCTATGTACTAAAAGAAACAAAATCCTAAGTTTCAGCAAAACAAAACCACATGGAATGAAAAGACCTCCCTAAAACACTCGCTGTATTAAGCTAGAAATCAAGTTTTGAGGGAGAAGCTCACTAAACTTTGTAAGAACAGAAAAATGCAAACCATTTTTATTAAATGAATGCTGCTGAGAGGTTTCACTGTACAATGAATTAAGGCTCTTAAGAGTTCTCCCTGTAGCCTTCTTGGTGAAGATGATGGAGAGTGGTCTAGCAATGACCTCCGCCATATAGTCTCATATAGCTCATATAACATCTCATATAGTCTCAAATACGCATTTAACTTCCAGGAAAGAGACATGATAAACCACAGCAGACAGATAGTTATGGAAGCTTGTGAGTTCACATTAATCAGCAACATGAGGAATACCTTCACTGTTACACTTGTCTGAGACCATTCCAAACTTTACAGGTAAAAAGAAGGTTATTCAGTCATACAGTCAACATACACATTAAATGGTAACAAATTTACAGTCAATTCAACTTCAACTTATTTGACTGCTAGAAAAACTCCTAACTTCACTTTACTTACAATACATCCTCCTCTCTAGTCATGGCTGCTGGCTTGGCCACCTCCCCTGCATTTCCTTATTTCTTCATCTATCTCCTTTAATTCTCTTGCTTCTCTCTGTTCCTTGTCACCTTCAACACCATCACTCAGCTCCTCTCACTCACTATTAACCCTTCCACATTAATTGGTGATCTTCCTCTGTACAGACTAATTCTGCAAATCCTAATTTCAGATGATCTTAATGCAAACATCTATCATCACATGCAAAACACCAAGCATGCTAGTGTTTTTTTAATTGTGCCACTTGCCACTTCCATCTTAATACAGCCACTCACCCATCACAGACCATGAAGAATGTAACTGAACTTTTTTTAGCCAAGGCATTCAATTAAGAACAGGAGATGCACTAACAAAAGAGTTAAGATAAATAAGACACATAAGAATGGATTAATGGATACATAAGAAACTACCACCCTTTATGAAATGCTGGGAAAAGAGAACAGAGTCAAAAAACAGTGCCTGGAGAAGATAGACTCCTGTTCTCCATCTTCTACAACAGAGAATGAACATGTTCATTCTCTTCTCAGTAATGGGCCTTGATTTAGTGTGTAATTGGCACCTTGATTTCCTTCTGAGTAACCATAACACGTTCCTATTCATCACCAGGAACAAAGTAGTCTAGTCAGCATCCCCTGCAGCATCTGAACACCTTTACACAGCTGTGGAAGTGAAGAGTATTTAATTAGAGCCCGTTTACTATCACTTCCAAAGATCAAACCCAGATCTTTCTAAGTATTTAGGTGCCCAACTTCTACTAACTCCAGTTTGGCAGTACCACTGTGAAACAGAGCTTGTATGGTAGCAAACACTGCCTGCCAAGGTTAGAAGGGAGCAGGGAATTCAAGTAATTTGGTTCCGGTTTAGGGGAATTTTGTAATCAGATTATTAAAACAGTGCCTCTGCAATGTAATTTCACATTATTCCTATGCAGTTAGCACTATCTCCCTAACTTACATTCTTGGGGTTTTTTGGTGGTTTGTTTTTTTGTTTGGTTGGTTGGTTTGATTTTTTGTTTTGTTTTTTTTCTAAATTGTGCCTACTACACATGTATTAAAGGTCTTGAATACAATCTCATATTGTGTTCCTCCTCTTAGAAGGGACAACTAAATTTCCCTCCCTGGCAAATTTGCTATTTGATCTTTGTCCAGAAGCTTGAAAACCATCCTTCCCTGTGTGCATATAAGCCCTTCTCAAGAGTGTCATTAAGCTATGAAAAATCTAAGCTTTAATTCTAAGAAAAGTTTCTAACCTTTCACAGAATCACTATGGTTGGAAAGGACCTATGAGATCATCGAGTCCAACCATTATCTAACTCTACCTGGCCACTTCCACACAACATCCCTGAGCACCCCATCTGACAGCTTTTGAACACATCCAGGGATGGCAATTCAACCATTTCCTTGGAAAGCCTGTTCCAGCCTTTGATAACCCTTTTGGTGTAGAAGTTTTTCCTAATGCCTAACCTCAACCTCCCCTGGCATAACTTAGTACCTCTTAGTACCTCTTTCTGAGTAATATGGACACATATGAGACAGTAAATACAATCACTGCCACAGCTTTGCCCTACATCTTATGCTAAAGAAGTGATGTAATAAAAACAGACTGCATCTCAATGTAAACCTCCATGCATAAGCATTTGAAGATTAAATAATCAATTCTTTATGTTGAACTAGGTGATCTGACAGCAACAAAGCGATATTTTTCATGGCTGTCAAAGCATCCCAAGTCATTAGTGCATCTAAACTGAATTATTATAATAACCGTAACTCCTGAAGTGAATTTTCAGATTAACTTCAAGATATTCCTGGAATCTTGACACTTGACGATTACCTACTTCCCCAATTAAATTCAAATTTGTAAAATAATTTTGGAAAGTGGATATTAAAAACCACTAGTTACCTGTTTAACAGAATGTATTTCTTTAGGTTGAAAAATAGGTAAAAATTCTAAAAATAAGAGCATAGTGTGTCAGAGTATAGCCACCCAGTGGAGAGAAATCAAAGTGAACAACATAAGACATCACATTTCCTACATATGCATTGACTGATTCTGGCACATTTTTTAGCTTAAAATATAAATTCTCAAGTGTGATGGGCAAAAAGCTACCCTTAACTCAGTCTAATTTTCTCTAACATGAAGCTACCAACTCAGTAGCCTCTAATTATGTATGACCATGTTATGTTTAGATTGAGCACTGATTAGGAAAGCTAGACTGTGTAAAGTGACCAAGGTTAAGAAAGGGAAATTTCACAGAATCACAGAATGTTAGGGGTTGGAAGGGACCTCTGCAGATCATTGAGTCCAACCCCCCCATCAGGGCAGGACCATCTAGTCTAGGGCAGGTCACACAGGAATGCATCCAGATGAGTCTTAAAAGTCTCCAGAGTAGAAGACTCCACAACCCCCCTGGGGAGCCTGTTCCAGTGCTCTGTGACCCTTACAGTACAGAAGTTCTTCCTCATGTGGAGGTGGAACTTCCGGTGCTCCAGCTAATTTGAATAAATGACATGGCAAAATTCCAAATAAAAAATAAAATTTAAAAAAAATCCCAAACCGTAACAGTCTTCTTTTCAAGAACAACTGTGCTGGGTCAAAACGTCCATTTCACCCAGTATCTCATCACTACAACTGCTCAATAACAGTTGCCTGGTCAAGAATGTAGAACAATTACAATGTCAATCTGTCATCAGATTACTTCCCCAAACTCCAGCAAGCTCAGCAACT